CCCCAAGATCACCCAATAGGCGATGCAGCCATTCAAGTTCTGACGTGACATTAGACATAGCTCTGTACTCCGCTTCCGTGGATGATTTTGAGACACGTTCCTGCTTTTTTCACCTCCAAGAAATAACAGAAGAACCAAGACGGATGCACCATCCAGTCGTCGAACGACGGGTATCAATGCATCCAGCATAGTCAGAATCAGAAAATGCCTGTAGCACAAGAAATCCCTTCGACGACAAGTGAAGTCCAACATCTCGAGTACCCTGTAAATATCGTAAAATTCTATGTATAGCCACCAGATGATAAGTGCGAGGGGCAGACATGAACTGACTAACAATCTGGATCGCATAGGCAATGTCAGGGCGAGTAGAGGTGAGATAAATAAGACTGCCCACTATGCTGCGATACTGCTTCCCACCGTCAGGTAAGGGATCACCCGAGTCCCTCCCCAACTTTAGTTTGAGCTCAATAGTAGTAGCAACAGGAATACAATCAGCATGCCGAGTAGCCTCCAAAAGATCATCAACATACTTCTTCTGGCTAAGCAGGATACCGACGAACATCCCGACACCTCGAGTTCGAGATAGTAGGATAGCGAGCCGAGCTCCTTGAGATTAAAAGTGTCGTGGAGCCCCTGAGTCAGGGTTTGAATACCTTCACCATCATCACCGGACACAATCATGTCATCCACATGAATGATCATTGGAGCTCTGAATGAAACCCAACCCCAGGATAATCGAGTGAAACTTGTCGAACCATGCTCGGGGAGCCTGTTTAAGACAATAAAGAGAGCGTTGAAGGAGGCATACCGAGTCAAGAGGACCAACCGTATAGCCATGGGGACGTTCCATATACACTGTCTCCTTCAACTCCCCATGGAGAAAGGCGTTCTTAACGTCAAGCTGGTAGAGAGGCCAGCCCTGTAGGGCTGCGACAGCAAGTAGAGAACGAACGGTACACATCTTTGCGACAGGTGCAAATGTCTCCTCAAAGTCAACCCCGTACTCCTGGGTAAAACCCTGTGCAACAACCCGAGCCTTATGACGCTCAATGGTACCATCTGGATGGACCTTAATGGCATACACCTACTTACTACCCACAACTGGAATTTCAGGAGGTGGTCTAGGGACAACAACCCATGTATTATTCGCATGCAGAGCTGAGATCTCATCTGTCATCGCAGCATCCCAAACTGGATCGCCCTTGGCCTGTGAGTAGCGAGTAGGAACAGAGAGCGGAGCAACCTGAAAAGAAACATAATCCAGATGTCGATCAGGAGGCTATCTCAGGTTGGCTCGCAGTGATCGGCGAAGAGGAACAGGAGGAGGGGAAGCCGTGGACGCTGAGGATGACTCGGACGTCGTCGGGGACGAGGGGGCGGGAGATGACGCTGCAGACGAGGGGCTGGATGGAGGATCCACATCATATGGGGTATCATCATCATCATCAGGAAAGCATGGAAGGTCGAGAGAGGTATCAAACAAAGTGCTAGGCTATGAGGAAGAGGAGTAGTACATCAAGTTTTCAAAGAAAACGAGATTACAGGCTATACGGAGACGACTAAGAGAGAGAGATTGTAACAGAGGTAGCCCTTGTGAATGTCGTTGTACCCAAGGAACACACACCGAGTAGTCTTAGAAGTGAGTTTAGTACGTTCAGACCGAGGAAGAAGGACAAAACATAGACATCCAAAAACACGGAGACGGGAGTAAGGGGGATGTTTCGAAAACAGACGAAAATAGGGACTTTCCTTACCTAAGACCAGAGTGATATGATAGTTGATAAGATGAACAACAGTGGACACTGTCTCAGGCCAGAATGAGGCAGAAACATGAGAAGTGAGGAGAAGAGCACGAGTTACCTCCATGACATGAAGATATTTTTGTTCCACCAGGCCATTCTGCAGGGAAACCCCGGGACATGATTGTTGAGTAAGAATGCCCAACGATCGATATAACTCAAGAAGAGGATTAGAGTTAAACTCGCCTCCAGGATCGGACCGGACTACACGAATAGTTCTATCAAATTGAGTTCGAATCATTTGAAGAAATTCTGTGGCTATGGACAAAAGATCAGAGTTTTGGCGTAAACAGTATACCCATGTGTATCGAGTGACATGATCCACAAAGAGAGCAAAATATTTGTAACCATGACGAGAAGTAGTCGGACTAGGACCCCATAAATCAGTATGAATCAAGTGAAAAGGTTCAGTGATAATCGTACGACTTTGAAGGAAAAGAAATACGAGTTGTTTTGGCCTCAACACAGCTAGTACAAGAAAAATCCGAGGAATGAGGCACCTTATTACCGAGCAATTGTTTCTAAAATATGATCCTTAGTCGAGATGAATTAGGATGACCAAGTCTCACGTGGCATAACTGAAACGTACGATGATGATGGTAAAGTGGCGAGCTGCTCCAGGTAGAAGATCCGTCCAAGCTTGTTACCCCTGCCTATCTCCCGCACCGCCTTCAGATTTTTAACAGAGCACCCAGATGGTGCAAATACAACACGACAACCACTTTCAGTGAGCTGACCAACAGAAATCAAGCTCGGAACAAGATTAGGCACATAAAAGGTATTAGGTAAGGCTAGATCACGTTCTTTCATCAACCCCACACCCGCAACAGGTAAACGAGATCCGTTAGCTACTTGAAGTGAGATATCATCGACCGGGAATAAATTTGAAAGCTAAAAGTAGAGCTCGTCATGTAATTAAAGCATGATGAATCTAGAATCCATTTAGGAAGCTTACCGGATGCTTGGAGGCTAGCGAATGCGGAGTTAATGGCCTTGGAGACAAGTTGTTCAAGAGTAGCTGTTGTCACCATTATTCCCTCCGCTCCAGGAGCCATTTGTGTGGCAAAAGCTGGCCGAGTGTCATTCCCTGACGGAGCCTGCTGCTGGCGCCAATTTCCTGTAGTCCGTGAGTCCATACCTTGCGGCAACCCTCCATTGTTGCCATTTCTATTATTATTTGATTGCCGAGGCGGAGCAACGGGACAGTCCGGAACAATATACCTGGTTTCCTTGCAATAGACGCAAAAGTTCCTGCCTCGGCAATACTTCTTCGTGTGGCCTTTGGCATGACAGTGAAAACATTCAACCTCACGACGAGCAGTCGACGGAGATCGATAGGCAGCAAAAGCAGCAGTATCAGATTGCCCGGAGTCCTCGCTGCCGCCCACTGAGTTCGGGTTATGGCCAGAGAGATGCCCAACAGAATTTTGGTGGGGATGTGCGTGTTAGAGAGTGGTATAAGATCCAGCATAACCTTCTCCCAACAACTCGAGTTATTGGGATCAACTGATTCATGACATGGTATCAGAGCCTTCTATGACCGAGAGGTCTTGTGTTCGATTCCCGGTGACCCCCATTTGTTAAGCACATGGTATTCTTGTCTTCAGACCTGTGCAAACTTCAAGCCCGTGGGTTGGCTTTCGTTTGAGGGGGCGTGTTAGAGAGTGGTATAAGATCCAGCATAACCTTCTCCCAACAACTCGAGTTATTGGGATCAACTGGTTCATGACAGTGCGCTGGAGCTGTCGTTCATAGCCGCAAAGACGGATGGCTCCCCATTTCCAGGGCGGGCATAAATGTCGGCTTGAGTTCGTAGCTGGGTTTCCTCTCGGATCAGCGCGCCCAGGACCTGTTCCATCTAGAGACCCTCACGATTGAGCAAAGTGGAGCGGACAACTTCATACTCCGGCTTCAAGCGAGCCAAAAATTGCAGGGTCCTCGTTTTTGCTTTCTCTGTACGTACCTCGGCGGAGGCGGATCCCGAGAGCAAGGCTGCCGACAAGAGATCTTGCTCGGTCCACAACAACTTGGCCTCATTATAATACGTAGTGATGTCTTTATTGCCTTGATAAAGATTGCCCAGTTCGACCTTGATCTCGAACTAATGAGCTACGCTCGTGGTGGCGTATGTATCACGCAGCCCCTTCCACATCTCAGCAGACGCCGGAAGGAGGCGGAGCCCTGACACGATGGAGGGGTCCACCGACTTCACTATCCTGGATCGAACTCGTGCGCCGGATTGCAGCCACTTTGCCTGTTCTTGTTGCGTTGACGGAGGTACCTCTACCTTCGATGAACGTACGAAATTGAAACTCCCATAGCACAAAGTTCTTCTAGTTGAGACGATTGTTGATGCTCTCCAAATCCATGTTCTCATGCTCTGATACCATGATAATCATAACGTAGCAATAATCGAATAGAACAAGTATAGGGACGAGACGAGATTTACGTGGTTTCCTTGTTCGATTGTTCTCGAACAAGACTAGTCCACTTGAGGATCGTTGCTTTCTTATTTTCCTGTGCTTCAACGTAGCACATTTAGGTTATATATATGTTCAGCTCTCTACACAATTAACCCTAGCCGAGACTACACATCTAATGGGCCGAGCCCTTTTGTACAAGGCCGAAAGGCCATATAAACATAATACTCAACAATTTTGACTTGTGAATCACCGTGTACTAATTTTGGAAATGATGAAAGCCTAGAAAACTCCCATAATTTGAAGACCTGTACATAGGGTCTCCGACCACACCCAAAGTCGACCCTGTACACGACAAACGCACACACCTCTCAGATGGGTCTGAAAACGGGAACTCCACCACATATGCCATTGTAATGTTGACTAAAAATGAGAATTAGAAAGCATGATTTGGAAACAGTTGAATGACAACTTATTACTTAACACTAATTCACCTTCATTACCACTACAATGACTCTCAGTGGCTAATCTGAACTCTGTTTTTCTAGTTGAATCATCATCAACATTTGTACCTGGACCTCTCTGTTTTTAAAATTTTCCGGTTTCCCTGCCGCCGTTGATCGGAGTTTGGGGTTCGCTCGCTTTATTGAGCACAGTGATCTCTCTCTCTCTCTCTGGTCTCTCTGTTTTTCTTGCTGGCTCTGAGATTGGGTTTAATCATTGAGCTTTCTTTGGTTAATGTGCGGGCAGACGGTAGGTGAGTTGAAAATAGGTAAAAAGGAGGTGGGAAAAGAAAAATAAAGAGGAAACTTATTAGATAAGAATAATGTCGAAAAGGCAGATTCATTGACTGGTAGCTCAGAGAGAGAAAACAGGGAGAGTTAGTGAGAGAAAGCAAAGCGAAGAACACGAAACCCTAGAAGGAAAAAGAAGTGGGCAGGCAAGAAGAAAATTGGGGAAGAAGCCAAAACCCATCAGCCAGAAAGTTCCTTTGGGAATTTCCCGAAATAATTCTTTTCCCACTAAGTTGCTCTCATCGGAGATTTTCCTCCCTTTTCACCCCCTTCTCCCAGCCCCCTGTTCTATCTTTGCTCCCAACCCATAATCCCTTTTCTTTGTTGTTTATTATTAGTAAAGCTTCCATCTTTCCCCCTTTTCCCAGTTTCCCCCAACTTGCCTCTTCAATCTATACTTATCGCCATGCCGGTCGATTTGGATAACTCCTCCACCGCTTCAGGGGAAGTCAGCGGCTCTTCCTCCGGCGGAAACAACCCCTCTCAACCGCAGCAGTCCACCGCCGCCACCCCCAAGAAGAAGCGGAACCTCCCCGGGATGCCAGGTACGTCAATCAGACCAAATCGATTATGAAATTTCCGGGGGGAGAATGAGATTCTCCTGTAAGTAATCGGATTTTGGGGGGTTTTTTTCCTTTTCTTCCTCTGCAGATCCAGATGCTGAAGTGATTGCTCTGTCACCGAAGACTCTAATGGCGACGAACCGATTCGTGTGCGAAATCTGCAACAAAGGGTTTCAGAGGGACCAAAACCTGCAGCTCCACCGGCGAGGCCATAATCTGCCGTGGAAGCTGAGGCAGAGATCGGGGAACGAAGTGAAGAAGAGAGTCTACGTTTGCCCCGAAGCGAGCTGCGTCCACCACGATCCGTCGCGGGCGCTGGGCGATCTCACCGGGATTAAGAAACATTTCTGCAGGAAGCACGGCGAGAAGAAGTGGAAGTGCGATAAGTGTTCAAAGAAGTACGCCGTTCAGTCCGATTGGAAGGCTCACTCCAAGATTTGCGGCACCCGGGAGTACAAATGCGATTGCGGGACTCTGTTTTCCAGGTTCCCCATCTTACGCGTTTTCGACGAATTGCTCTTATCCGTTTTCCCATTTTGTTACTGAAATTGTTGCTAATGGGTTTGAAGGAGGGATAGCTTCATTACCCACCGAGCATTTTGCGACGCTTTGGCAGAGGAAAGTGCCAGAGCTCATCCCCATAACCCAACTCCACCTCCGCCTTCGAATCGGAGCCCGGGAGCCGACCCGCATGTTGATTCAGCTCCGGCAACGGCGCCGCCTTCTGCTCCATCATCTTCGGTGTCTCCGGTTCACAGTCCAGGTAGAAAGGGCTGACTAAGTAACCCCCCAAATTCAGAAACTTCTTCAAATTTCCGTTTGATTTTTGTCGGTTGCGTTTTTTGTCCTTAATTATAAAGACCAAATCTTTTTCAGGCTGTTTTGTTTTTGTCTTCCCCTCCTTTCACTTTCCAGTAGAGATCTTTGGAGTCTAGCAGTAGTAGCTCTTTTGTCCGTTTCCGCCAAAACAAAAAAACGTTTCAACTGGGAGCTTTCTTCTGAATCTGAAATCCTGATCCAAAAGATGTTGGAAAGTCTTGTCCTTTTTCTGCATCTCTCTGTTTTACTAAGATCCCGGTGGATTTTTGGAAATGCAGAGTTGCCAAGAACTCAAGATCCCTCGCCAACGCCAATCATGGAACAACCAGTAGCTCCGGCTGCAACCGTGAATGCAAGCTGCAGCAGCAGCAGCACCAGCTCGAGCAGCAATGGCAGCACTACTAGCACTGTCTTCGCGAGTCTGTTCGCATCCTCGACAACTGCATCAGAAACCCTCCATCCACCTCCGCCGCAGCAGGAGACTCACTCGTTCTCCGACTTGATTCGAGCAATGGCGTCGCACCCTGATCACAGTCACGCCACAGTCGAGCTCGCTCCACCACCAATCGAACCTATCTCACTCTGTCTCTCCACAAGCAATGGCTCGTCGATATTCGGGCAGGAGAGGAGACACTATGCTCCACCACCACCACCGCCGCAACCACCTTCCATGTCAGCCACCGCATTGCTTCAGAAAGCCGCCCAAATGGGATCTTCTGCTACCAATGCATCGTTGCTCCGCGGATTAGGGATAGTCTCGTCCTCTTCGTTGTCGTCTTCTTCAGCACAGCTTGATGGTTGGGGTCAGAGACACATGGAGGCAGAGAATTCTTCTGATATTCATCATCATCATCATCATCCAGGGCTTGGACTTGGATTGCTGCCTTGTGATGGAGGGTCGGGGTTGAAGGAGTTGATGATGGGAAGTACTTCTTCTTCTGTGTTTGGTCCTAAACATGCCACACTCGACTTCCTCGGGCTAGGAATGGCTGCCGTAGGAGCTGGCCCGAGCAGCGGGGGGCTCTCGGCTCTGATTACATCGATAGGCGGGGGGCTTGATGTAGCTGCTTCTTTTGGTGCTGGAGAATTTGGTGGCAAAGACATTGGTAGTAGCTCGTGAGATTAGTAGACCTAGAAGAAGGACAAGTCCTTTTTTCTCTGTTTTTTTTTTTTTTTTTTGTTGTGTTTAGAGATTAGAGGAACTCTCTTAAGATGCATATTGTACAGCACTACTATATGATGTATATGGGTATTAGGGCCAAGCAGAATCCGAACATGGAATCAAAATGCTTTGTTTTGGTATGAAAATTTGTTCTCATTGAAGACCAACAGCTTGATTGTTCTTTTCCAATGTGCATTTGTGCTGCCGTTATTGTTCTAAGAAGTGTTGTTAAGGTTTGTGCCTTGACAGATGCGTATACAATTAAATGTAATCAGTGTGTCATGATTTCATCTAAGATGGGTTTGGTATTTTGAAGATAAATACATTAAATTAACCTTTTGTTAAACATATTGGTTCTAATTTCTGGAGGAGAACGGATAGCAACTAGGGATGGCAATCAAACCCATGGCCGCGGGTACCCGACCGCCCCATACCCAGTCAACGCGGGGAATCCCCGCTTTGACCGGGTATGGGGCGGGTATGGGTAAAACCCGCAAAAGGTTTGATGGGTATGGGGCGGGTATGGTTTTAGCCTCCCCCGCCCCATACCCATACCCATACCCGCCCCACCAAGAGAATTTCTTCACATATCAAAAAATACGTGGATTAAATTGTAATCTATCAATGATGATGATGATAACTCGAGAAAATAAATAGTAGAAATGCAATTGAGTAACCACCTTAATCAAAACCTAATTCATTTCCCTCAATTCTCCTTCCACTCTTTCATTTCCCCCTTGTCAACAAAATATGTTAGTTAATTATTACTTAGTAAATGTATCAAGAGTTAGAGCATAATAATTTAAAAAATATTATAGTCTATATTATGTATTAATGGATGTTTTAGGATCATATTTTTTTAATCGTATTTAGAAAATGACCGTGTTTTGTTGACTTCGTGATATAATAGGTTTGTTTATGGTTATAATTAAAACTTTTCTTGTAAGTTTTAGGTATAATAATGTTGGATGTACGGGGATGGGTATTACCCATGGGTACCCGAAACCCACGGGTATGGGGATGGGTTTGCAAAATATTCCCCCGCATGGGTATGGGGCGGGTATGGGTTTGGGTATTTGAAGATGGGGATGGGGATGGTTTAGGCAAACCCGCCCCAAACCCGCCCCATTGCCATCCCTAATAGCAACATGATCGAGACTGTTGATGGCGGGGGTGTGAAGGAAGTGGTGCTCAAGAAATTGTTATCCATAGTTCAAGCTCGTTTCGGCCAACCAAATAACTTCTATATTAATGTTTGTAGATACACAAGCTTGCAATATAGAAGTTCTCTCAAAAAGCTTGCAACATGGTCCTATTCCCACCCTTAGCCGTGTAGTATCCCTAATTTTGGAGTTGTATCGCGAAACAAAAATAGGTGTCCGAACGCATCTCTCCTTCGCTACTGAATGTTTATGTGATAGTAAAATACACCTGTATAATGATTGCTATCGACTTTGTGACAATAGTAGACAATTTCTCAAAAATATACAAAATGCCCAGTTCCATCCAAAATTTTAACGAAGTCATTTTAGATAATGATTGGACTAATGGTTTTGCTGAGTTGGAGAAACTTAATAAAAATATTATCAGCTGATATTAACTAAATTCACTTGCATAGCTATAACTATTGACTTTGTGACAGTAATAGCCAATCTCTAAGCAATACACAAAATGTTCAGATTTTTAGAAACATGTTTGACATATTTAGCCACTCTTGTTAAAATTTTAATGCCAGAGATTTCGTCAGGTACTTTAAAAAGACGCTAATGAAGATGGTCTCTTGACGCACATGTCAGCAACAACTCGACATGTCATGCCATATCATACTTTAATTAAAAATATTTTTATAAATGTCTTTTTACGCAAAATACATATCCTCAAGTCACCCAACCATTGTTGATTCACGACAAATGTGATTAGGGGTAGAGGAATGTTACGAACGGAACAACAACAAGAACGAGGTTACCGAATCTGGAGCTGAGTCGCGGACTAGGTCGCTCTCTTTAAGACGTTCGCGGCACTGCCCTCGATGCGCACGGCAGACTATCAACCGGTCGTCTCCAAGATAAAACAGCTCCTCTCAATACTCGCGGTTTTGTGCGAAAACCCGAGTTCTCTGAACACTCTCTCTATTGTGTTTTATGCTCGTTGTTGTATCTTTTAGGGTTAGACAACTCATCTATTTATATTGGATGAGACCTTTAGCCTTCCCCTCTTGGTGAAGGATTTGAGAATCTTCTTAAGGAAGGAAATCAAGATCGAGTAATAACTCCTGATTATTCCTTTCTTTAATACAGACAATTAACCCAATTGATAAAAGTTTCCTTTAATACCAGAAATCAATCCGATTGATTGAAACTTTCCGTTAGTATGGGCAATTGATCTGATCATGAAAGATTCCTTCAATATGGAAAATCAATCCACTTGAATGAACTTTCCGTTAATTCGGTCAATTAATTCTGATTGAAGAAACGTTTCCTTCAATACGGAGAATTAATCCGAATTAACTTCACTTACCTTTTTCAAGGACTTTCCTTTAGTTTTTTACAAACTATTCACATTTCTCAACAAGGAAGACCTGGTTGGAGCCACTAGTAAATTATGGTGGGCGAAAGTGGAAAGGGAAAGGGTTATGGCTAATTGGAGGTGGATGATCCTTCCTTTTTTATTTTATTTATATGTATTTTTAGTTAATTCCACATGACACTGTTTTTTATTAAGTGTAGACAAGTCAGCAAAAACGCTAGTCTAGTCAGCATCCAAAATGATTATGTTAAAGTTTTGTACGAAATTGGACATTTTTTTTGTATTCATGAGAAATTGACTATTAAGACATAAAGTCGATAGTTATGACTACACAAGTGTATTTTGCCATTAAAATATGATATAGTGTCAAGTGCCTTGGCATGTCGAGCTGTCGCTGACGTGTGTGTCAAGGTGGCATCCTAATTAGTGTCTTGTTTATTTAACTTACGGAATCTCTAACGACGTTAAAGTTTTTAACGAAAGTGCCTAAATTTGTCTAACATATTATCAAAACATGGACGTGGCTATCATTATCACAAATTCGATAATTATGGTTATGTAAGTGAATTTTGATAAGTTTATCAACTTATAAGTACTTGTTTGTGCTTACTCCTTAAAAAAGGGTCAATACGATAGGCTTGAGAGTGTTTACCCTATGCTATGCTAAAGTGAAAGCAAAGAAAGAAAATTATAGTTGTTGATTTTGAGGGTTGACATTTTGTGGCTATCTTGAACAAGTTGTGGATCTTATTTTATTGAAAAAAACGCATTGAAAATCCGAAGCATTTGAGAAATTGTGATTTGGGTAGGATCCACAATTAAAAATAGTGAATTAAATATTATAATTATTATGATTATAATTATTATGATTATTTTAAGAAGTTGGATGTCCGGCCGAGTTAATAATAATATTTGTCATTTTTTTTTTTTTTTTTTTGACCTTTTCAACTTTATATGACAAATTCTCTTTTGCAGTCTACACATTAAAAAAAAAAAATGAGAGGAGCTCTCTCCTCTCTCCTATGGCTTTGCTGGTCGACAGTCTCGTGCTTGGTTCGCGTCGGCCGATCTTCTGGCCGTGCCCTCTATGGATTCCTGGTCCTGGTGTTCGAGGTGGCCTTGGCGAATCAAGGGCTGCTTCATCCTCGTCAGAACACGGCGTTTCCCCACTCCAGGGAGGTGAGGACTCCTTGTAGAATCCCAATAACCCTTCTCGGAAAACAGAGTGGCCCCGTGGCGGCGTGCTTTGATACTGATCAGGATCGATGGACTCGTAAAAGGCTTCTGATCGATGCGATGGATCACATTCAAGATGACCACCGAAGCAAACGCTTGCGAAAGACCGTTCTACAGGCGTGGCGGTTTCACCTCCCGGCCTCGGATGAATTGGGTGATGGTGAGTTAGTTAGACCAGCTACCCCTAGCCCTCCCTCGTCAGGACTCAGACCCCGGGATGGGGCGAGGTCTGTCGTGTTTGTTACTGGCCGACGGACAGGGAAAATCGCTGAACAGGCCCGATCGCTATATCCCTCAGCATTGGATGAATTTGGTGGTGGGGAGTTGTTTGACCCTGCCGCCTCTGTTCCCACCTCGGAAGAACTCAGACCCCGGGATGGGGCGAGGTCTCTCGAGTTTGTTAATGGCCGCCTGGTAGTGAAAGTGGCGGATCAGGCCCGATCGTTGTTCGCCGGGCGGTCGGCGAGGACATTCCGGCCGGTTTGGAAACCAAGTTGTGGTGGGAATCAAACACTTACCGGATTCTCTCTCCCCCGTGATCTGCGTAACGGTTATAGCGATCACAGCTGTGGGCTTGGGGATATTTCCGCAACAGATCCCTGGGAGGTTAATACTCTTAGACTCCCATTCCAACTCCAACAGTCCTCGATGAGGAATAGTCCTGCCTCTAGCCACTATTTAAGGTGCGGCACCCAACCTAACTCTCCCCTGCAATTTACGCAAGACGGAGCTCTAGCTTGGTACCGAGGCATAGACTTTTCCAACTTCAAGGCCGGCCCTGGTAAGTGGGTATCTCTCATTGAGAGTCTGTTGGTTGACCCTTGGTCGGCCAATGGTTTATTAACAGCCATTGAGCCCATTCATGCTTACTTCCCGAACTCGATTTCAATTGTATATCCCGGTTCGTTGAGCGCTGATGACGCTGTTGCTATGAATCCTGTGCAGCCCAGAATCATGGCTCATGTTACCAGCGACCAGGTTGTGGAGTTCTCGATGGAGGAAGTCCGATCAACAAGGGTGAGCAAATCGCGGATCCTTCTCGGTCGCCTCTTCTCTGAGAACGGGATGTCAATTACTGAGATGCGGGATGCTGTTAATCGCCCATGGCAAGGGGATGGCCGAATCACCGTGAAGCTGCTGTCATGCGGTCTGTTTGAGTTTGTTCTACCCTCTGAAGCGGCGAAAACTTGGGTGCTGCAACAGACCCCGTGGATTATCAACGATAAAATCCTCAATGTGCGAGCATGGGTGCCGAATGTCTCGCTTCGCACTGTCGAGGAGCTGGCGGTGGCACCTTTCCGTGTTCAACTGTGGAATGTTCCTGAGGAGTGCTGCACAATCCAGTTTGGGCGTAAGATTGCAGCGCCCACACTGGGTCGTGTCCTAGAGGCAGGGGTCTTCTCCTGCGCTGACACCCATTGCAAATTTGTTAAAGTCAAAACTCTAATTGACTTCTCCAAACCTTTGAGGTCTCAAATCATGGCAACCAACGATGAGACGGGAGGGTTTTGGATTCGTTTCAAGTACGAACACCTCCCGAGCTTTTGTTACACTTGTGGACGAGTTGGTCATTAT